CACCTTTTAATCTAGAGCAGAAACAAGGTGAAAGAATAACAAGAAAGAAACACATTAGGATTATATCAAAGATGAACATAAAAATGTTTTTACAGTTTAACTGCCCCTTAAATGTGTGCATGTGTCTGCTGGAAATGTTTTAACAACAAATACCTGCTAGCTAGTTCCAAACTGCAGTGTTTGCCACATGCATAACCTGAAAAAGAGAATAAATAGAATTAGCAATTGACACTGAACAACTGACAATGTCACAGATCAGCTTGTGCAAGTATTGTGAAAGTAGCCGTGTACTTACCATAAATAAGAGGTTTCCCCAAGGTGCTTGTTAATGCTGATCAAACTGCAAAAGACAACAAATATATTTTAGAGGTGTGATTAAAATGCTTATATATTTGAATTTTCACAGAAAACACATAATTGCCTAAGATTGCACAACCCAAAAAACGTTTCTGCACAACTCTGGGTGCCTGCTTGTGAGTGAAGTAACCCATACAAGATTCACATATATATTATCTCATTATTTATATTAAATATTTGGCAGTAAAAAACTAAACTCAACTGAACTCCTACAGAAACGAGTGGCTCCGCCTGTCCTCCTCTGCCTGCCTGCACTAAGGCCAGGAGAGAGATGGACACACCTGCTGAGCTTTATGATAGAAAATGGCAGCCCTTGCTGGGCTGCATGCAGGCTCTGCCTCCTATACTGTTACCTCATTCACTTGAATTACTCTTTGCATTTTTTGGTTGAACTTAAACTGAATTTCGGTGTACTGTGTTCAATGACAATAACGTTAAATCGAATGTAATATAATCTAATGATCTCCATTATCCAGTATCCAATGCTAACCGTATCTAGCAAGCTAGCTAACAAACCAGTTATTTGGCTAGCTAGCTTGCCTCATGCACTTTAATTACTCTTTGCATTTTTTGGTTGAATTTAAACTGAATTTCGGTGTACTGTGTTCAATGACAATAACATTAAATCGAATGTAATATAATCTAATGATCTCCATTATCCAGTATTCAATGCTAACCGTATCTAGCAAGCTAGCTAACAAACCAGTTATTTGGCTAGCTAGCTTGCCTCATGCACTTTAATTACTCGTTGCATTTTTTGGTTGAACTTAAACTGAATTTCGGTGTACTGTGTTCAATGACAATAACGTTAAATCGAATGTAATATAATCTAATGATCTCCATTATCCAGTATCCAATGCTAACCGTATCTAGCAAGCTAGCTAACAAACCAGTTATTTGGCTAGCTAGCTTGCCTCATGCACTTTAATTACTCTTTGCATTTTTTGGTTGAATTTAAACTGAATTTCGGTGTACTGTGTTCAATGACAATAACATTAAATCGAATGTAATATAATCTAATGATCTCCATTATCCAGTATCCAATGCTAACCGTATCTAGCAAGCTAGCTAACAAACCAGTTATTTGGCTAGCTAGCTTGCCTCATGCACTTTAATTACTCGTTGCATTTTTTGGTTGAACTTAAACTGAATTTCGGTGTACTGTGTTCAATGACAATAACATTAAATCGAATGTAATATAATCTAATGATCTCCATTATCCAGTATCCAATGCTAACCGTATCTAGCAAGCTAGCTAACAAACCAGTTATTTGGCTAGCTAGCTTGCCTCATGCACTTTAATTACTCTTTGCATTTTTTGGTTGAATTTAAACTGAATTTCGGTGTACTGTGTTCAATGACAATAACATTAAATCGAATGTAATATAATCTAATGATCTCCATTATCCAGTATCCAATGCTAACCGTATCTAGCAAGCTAGCTAACAAACCAGTTATTTGGCTAGCTAGCTTGCCTCATGCACTTTAATTACTCGTTGCATTTTTTGGTTGAACTTAAACTGAATTTCGGTGTACTGTGTTCAATGACAATAACATTAAATCGAATGTAATATAATCTAATGATCTCCATTATCCAGTATCCAATGCTAACCGTATCTAGCAAGCTAGCTAACAAACCAGTTATTTGGCTAGCTAGCTTGCCTCATGCACTTTAATTACTCGTTGCATTTTTTGGTTGAACTTAAACTGAATTTCGGTGTACTGTGTTCAATGACAATAACGTTAAATCTAATGTAATATAATCTAATGATCTCTACTATCCAGTATTCAATGCTAACCATATCTAGCAAGCTAGCTAGCTTGCTGTTTAGACCCAACTAAAAACGGAGCAAAATATAACACGGTGGTTTCAAATATTCTTGTCGATATTATGAAAAGGCATTACTTGGAAACAGGGAACATTCTAAACTACTAGAAAAAACAAATACTTACCAAATAATAGACTTTCCACCGTCAGTTTCCCCAGTCAGTTCCCACAGTCAGTGTTAGACAAAAGGCGGCAAATGACAGAACGGATGTTGCGCATACGCAAAGGGGGTGTGCAAAGGGGCGGTCCCCAATGAAAACAATTCATTTTGAGTTGCTCTGTCTTAAATACATTTAATAAGTGAATTGATTAATGTAATTTGTGTTACACTAATGAACTATACTTAGGTTTATTTCTTAAATAAAAATATTTAAGTAAAGTGAAACCATTTTTAATGTGTCAAGTCTAAGAAGGGCTTGAATCATTTTTTTGAGTGTGGTAAAGTGACAAGGCTGCTGGGAATCTGCACTCTAGCCAATCACAGTGACCTCAGGTAAAACTTGTTACCATGGTGACATGCTCAGCATGATGCCATAGGTGGAGAATTGAGCAGCAGTTAAAGGCATAAATCACAGTATTTCTAAGATGGAAACCTCTAAGCAGGGTCTCGTGCCTTCAATATGCTCGTCTTGCCCTTGTAATATCTTCATGTTCCCTTTTGCTCTGCTCTTGTAATCGCTACGACTGCCAGCTGCTAACAGGATGCTGTGCATATAAATCTCAACAGGGAACAAATTGGCAGATTGAACCTTTAAATGAAATTTGAATCAGTTGTAATCAGTTTGAGCTGGTGGAGCATGTCTATCTCTTTCACAAACTGGGAAGCATTCAAGCTCATTCCAGCTCGGTTTTTCCCAGAGATGGAGTTGGCATATAACACTTGCTGGCTGGCTGATTGATTGAAAAACAAGAGAGAGAAAGCACAAACACTGGATTCTCTGTCTCCACTGCAACTCCCTCGCTCCACTCCTTCCTTTCAACATGGCACCTCTTTACATCTCACCATGGCAACTACAGTGTGTGTGTCTGTGTGTCTGTGTGTGGTGGATCTCATGGTTCCTCAGCTACCACTAGTCTTCGTGACTCAAGGCACGTTCAGATGGTTTTAGTATTAGCACTGAATGAAGTGCCAGACACTGGAAGCAGGGATCTGATTGGACAGAGTGAGTTCAGGGTGGCGGTGGGAGAGAAGCCGTTTGCAGGAAAGTTTTAAGAAGTGGCTTCTTGAAATTCAGTCGAATGTGGGAACATTCCCTAAAATGTGTTGCAGAAGGGTCTTCTTTCCTTCTTTCTTTCCTTCTCTTCATCTTTCTTTTCCAATTCCCCTCAAATATATAGTTTGACATTTTGAGATATGTATATTTGCTCTCTTTCCAAGATTCAGATGAGAGGATTTATAGTGCTCTAACGTTTTCTACGATAAATATGAAACTACCGGCAGCAGCCAGTTAGTTTAGCTAAGCAAAATCCTTGGAAAAAAGCTAGGCCAGCTCTTTCCAATTAACACAGTTAGTTAGAAAATAGCTTTATGTGCTGGAAATGTGGATCTTGTTGCCTTTGGACAGAGCCTGTGAGCTGGTTCTCTCGGTTTCCAGTTTAAGCTTACTGGCTGCTGGTTGTGTCTACACATGACAGTGCTTTCATTTTCCGATCTAAGTCTTGGCAAGAAAGATAATTTGTGTATTCTCCAAAACGTTGAATTAATAACGTTTATATTCAATTTATTCTACATTGCCTGACAGTATCTCTATCACCTTACAACTCTTTTTCACTCTCAATGAAAGTCATATTGAATATTCAAACCCAAGATGACGTGTTTTTTTGACACGTTGTTCCCAAAATGTATGGTGTGGTATTTTTGGAAACTTGGCTTCTCCACTTGAATTTAAACAGATCTGTAGGTTTGAATGAGGTCTTTCTCTGCAGATTGCCAAGTACAAGAGAAGTTCCTGACCATTCAGCCTCTAACCTATTGCTCTAAATCCTAATCCTCGTCTAGTCTCGGTCACCAGAACACATTAGTCACTCAATGTGCTTAATCCTACATCGCTACAGTCTGATTACACGGCAGTCTTCAGCGCTTGTTCTGATTTCTTTGACAGTTAATCACTTAGCGCTAAAGCGTGAACCACAACGCTTTCTTTGCTAAGCCGCACGTTTCAGCAAATCAGATCTCTTGTGAGAACGCAAAGATATATGACATAATAGTGTTTTCTTAGAAAACTAGCCTAGTACAGCCTCAGGCATCTTTCACTATACTTTAGGGATCCATTTAAATCATTAATGCCTCATGCTTGGGCTACAATCTTTATCAAACAAAATATAGTCAGTACACTGGGATTAGCGACAACTGGAAAAGTAACATATAATGTGTGTCTTTGTGTGCGTACAACCCTTTGTTTACCCTTTTGTCATCTACATTTAAATAAGATAACAGAAAACAACAGACAAACTCCTACAATGCAATAAGATTATGTTCATAAAATGATGTTATTTTATACTTTAAGGTCACTTTACATGTCAGGTGGAGTAATGCATATCCCTCGAAAGGCCTCAGTTCTGATTCATTTTGGGAAATTAGTTTTCTTATCTCAAGTTCAAATCTCAAGAGACACTTTCTTTAAACACAAGGGAACTAATCAGGTAGATAGGGTCTGATAAAAAGATTGGAACTAAAGCGTTTCTGCAGCTTGACCGATGATTGACACCTGAGCCTCTGGTTTCATTTTGTAATACTTCTCGTATGATTCCCCAACTTAATGGAAGACCAACTCTTAAAATCGCTTCTTTAATGTCTTTTTTGTCTGATTGACAGGGAGGCATTCTCTGTCAAGGCACCATCATCACCACAACCAATCATCTGTCAACAAGGAGGCCTTGAACGCCCGGATGGTGCTCAGTGATGACTCAGCAGAGAGGGACCACCTGATCGGGCTCGGGGCTAAACTCCCACTCAGCTCCACCAAACATCACCATTCTCATAAACATGCCCACCTAGATGTTGTTGATGAAGACCCGCCTGTGGGGGAGGAGCTGACTGCCGGAGGCGCGGGGCCAGACCAGCCGGGAAACCCCATGTCTGATGAAGTCATCACTGTGGAGTTTCACAGCCCTGCGCCTGACGTTGTGCCCGCTGACGGTGGTCTGGATTGGGCCAAAGCCCCTCAACCCCAGAAGCAAAAAGGAGGGGACCCAACTGCCTGGACGCTTTCTGACTTTTACGACTACCTGTCCCCTGACAACGACCCCTCAGCCCTGGATGCCACCCCAGAACCTGAGCCCACCCCTTCACCCCCGCCTGACATGGAAGATGAGAATCCGCTCCTGGCTGGTTCTCCTGCTGTTCCTGACAACGTGAGGCCTGACGTGGAGCCCTCCATACCAGCTCCCTCCATGCCAGCGCCAGACACAGGTGATGGGTTAGGGTTAGGGGGCGCCATGGGGGCTGACGGCTGCAGGCTGGGCTATGTGCGCTCTGGACCTGGAGTCTGTGTGTCTCAGTGTGACATTGATCCCAATTTCTGCCTCAATGGAGGAATTTGCACCGTGGTGGCAGGAATGGGAGCTTTCTGCAGGTGAGAAAAAAGGCATACACTTGTTTTTGTTGGTACTTCTGTAAATTTTAGAAATGATGACACAGTCTTACATTTTATATTCATATTTAGTAATAATGAATGAGAAAATACCTTCTAGCATTTGCAAGTAAGCAGTTTAAGCTTTACAGCATAGGCAGCAGGGGCTTTTAGGGGTTGTTCGGCGCTACAAATATTCCCCTCTTTAATGATCTTGTTGGGATGATTTCCCATTCCAGCACAAAAGAAAATATTTATGACACTTCTAACAAGCGTTCAGACACTGAAAACACAAACAAACACACACACACACACACACACACACACACACACACACACACACACACACACACACACACACACACACATACATTTGGATAGAAGGTTGGCTTAATGTGTCAATGTTTCGTCAAGATCACAGCAGGGCTGCTAAAGGATTAGCTCAGTTTGGAAGGCGGGTGCCGGGTGATAAAAGACGTGTTTGTGTGTGTGTGTGTGTGTGTGTGTGTGTGTGTGTGTGTGTGTGTGTGTGTGTGTGTGTGTGTGTGTGTGTGTGTGTGTGTGTGTGTGTGTGTGTGTGTGTGTGTGTGTATTTGCTCATTGGCTGGTGACAGTTGATGTAGACACAAAGAGTATGCACACATAGATCGTATAACAAAAATACAGTAAGGTCAGGGAGGAACACACATGCTCCACGTGCACATACACTACGCCTTGATAGCACCATCTGTTATCCAGCAGACTCAGTGTGGTCATGTCATTATACCTGCTGAGCAACAGCTCACACACTCACTCATGCCAACACACTTCCAAGACACAAACACTTGCATGCAATTGGACAGCGTAAGACAGGAATATGGACAAGCAACACACACACTTACACATGCACGCACTTATCCTTAGGCTTTGATCTCATTAGGGGTTAGCTGCAGGCCGAATCCCTGCTTTTCTGGACAGGCTTCTGAGTAGCCTACCATTTTACATTCTTACGTTGGCTTACATGATGTGGCTATAAATATGGTAAACATGGTAGTGCAGTGTGCACACACACTCTGATTAAACTGACTTTTGGCCTTTTATTTATACAGCAGGTCAGGGAAGGGACGTTATTTACTGCTTGTTTCCTGACCTAAAGTGTTACATTGATGATCAAAACATATTGCTACTTTGCATCCAGGTGCAATGTGCAGGAGTACATCTGGAACAAAGGCACACGCTGTGATTGGGCGATCACAGAGTTCCAGGTGATGTGCGTGCTGGTGGGCGTGGCTTCAGTGGTACTCATCTATCTCTTCATGATCATTGTGTGCTTTGCCAAGAAGCTGCACCGCCTCAAGAACGAGAACAAACGCCTTCGCAAACGCAGGTGTGTGACTGGGAGGTGAGAATGGAGTTCAATTTATGATATAATGAGGCAAATCAAATAATATTATATATCATATCATAAGCCGTAATGTAAATGCTTCTAGAGTTTATCTAATTGTCTTAGGTATCCACAAAATTGTTTTTAGACTGAGATAATATATATTTTGAGGTTTTAACCCCAGATTCACGCTGTACAGAGCAACATAGGGAACACATGGAAAGATACAAATGCACAGAATGCAAAAGGAAACACATATTAAATGGTAATATTAATGACACAAATGTCTCTCTCTTGCCCCGCTGCAGTAAATACCGCCCACAGAGCAGCGAGCCACAGACAGACGGCCTCTCCGTGTCCACCATGGCCGACGGCTCGCAGCCAAACGTAAGGAAACTGTGCGACACCCCTCCGCTTGCTCCCCAAGCTCACACTCACAACCTGGCGTACTATGACAACATTATCTGTCAGGTACGCCCCTACTCTCCTCATGTTTACTCACCTTTGTCTCTCCTTTCATCCTAGACTAACTTTGCAGTCCCATCTTCATCTAAAATGTATTTTCTCCATCTGTTCATGATGTCATCGCCCATATTTTGTGTCTTCCCGCTAACATTTTCTTTGTACATGTCTTAGTTTGTCTGTTTGTCTCTGCGCATGGCCATCTTTCTTGTCCAAATAAGCTTTTAGTGTTATGCACACATTGAATCCCCTTAACGCCCTGTTAAATCAGTTACTTGTCATTGGGATTCCCATTGGGAATTTTGAATGTACAGTATTTGTGTATTTAATGTTTTTCACACTCACCAATCCCCTCAGAGGCCATCAACAGCCAGCTATACCTGGGAATATAAACCCAGATACCCCTATAATAACTTGCAGGTAAGCATAGCAGAAATGACCGCATTGCCCCAAAGCAATTTCCCCTTTCTGGCTTTGTTTGATCTTACCCACTGTGCAACCTCTAGAGGCCACATTTTTCCATTAACTGCAAACATCCTTTCCGCAAACTCTCTCTGCATCTGATATCAGCTGCCTTCCATGTGCACTGTAAGTTAAAATGATTTATCACCTCCTCCCAATGAGTCCTGCAACTAGTTGTTCAGAGTTATTATGTTGTCACAGCTGTATGATTAAATAGCAAGTTCCCACATTAGCTGCCTCTCTTACCTGTGCACCTCTGCAGCTTCCTGAGTAACTCGATAAGAAAGCCTGGCCTCCATTTTGTTTTATCTGCTGGCTTTGCTCCTGTGCCCATAAAGCTCAGACAGCCATTTTAGGGTCCCTGTGCTTCATTTTCCACTTTTCCACGCAATTCTTTTCCCATGGCTGTGCATTTAGTGCTACTGTAACAGCTGCTTTCTGTAGCAGCGTGTGTGTGTGTGTGTGTGTGTGAGAGTCTGTACACATTGATGAGTTATTTTCCATCTATGTTTCTGTGTTTGTGGGGCAGATTTGTGTGCCCCTGTTCGTTGTTCCTCAATCACACTTGCTTACTGGGTCACTAAGCCAATGTATAGTGTCAGTAATGCATGGTTACATTCTTCATCTCAATAAACAATGGAGATTGTGTAGATATAATCAGATTAAATATAAACAGCATATAAAGTTGACAAGATCAACAGATCAAAGAAATGTTGCCCCCATGAGTTTAAGCCTTTTAGCTTGTTGTCTCTGGTGTGAAAGGGCGTTTAGTGAGTTTTGTCCATCAGTAGCCGCTGTGACTGATCAATGGTGCCCTACTTTCTGCCTGATGTGCCCATGATGACCTTCAGATGTCTGACATGCTAATCAATCGATGGCTTGCTCTTTTACAAATTGACACATGCAGACATACAGACACCAGTTGTGTAGTCATACAAACATAGATCTCTGAAAAAGAGCACTAACACAAGCACACCGTGATGGATTTTTTTGAAATCATGTGTTCATTTTTAGTCCTAGCCCTACTTGGTTGGCCTTAATGACGAGATCAAACTGTGCCTTGCTTGTTTATTACTAGCGTACTCTCTGAGCTCTGCTGGCATTTCAGTGCTGTGGGTAAAAATGAGTGACCGTGACTCCCAGATGCTCTAAATGTCAGGTCTAGAGGCTAAAAAGCCCCTGCAGACACATGGTCTGCAATGCAGTTTTTTTAATGTCAGAGATCCGATTGGTATCTTTTCAGATGCTGAGACATGATTGGTTCATTTTAATAAAGGTCTTAGCATTATAGGTGCAGGTTCAGTCCGAACACAGTATCATCTTTAGTATGGGGATGAGCTTCTGTGGAGATGTTTCCTTTGGACTTTATTGCATGTTTTAAGTACATTTAATTTCAATCTTATTTTTTAGCACATTCAAACCGTTTTAGCTATTTAAAAGTGCTTTAAAAATAAAAAGATGACCCTTTTGGTCAGGAGCTTACTTCTTATTCGCCACAAAACGTATTCATGCAATCCTTCTGTTTTGTGCAGGTAATGTTGCACACAGTATATCCGCACAACTGTGGGTTTTCCTGTTAATTGACAATCTAGTCCAGCGAAAATAAAAAGAAATACTACCTGAATCTTCATGGCATAAATAAAAATGTGAAACACAAGAGAGATGCAAGAAGGGAAGATAAGATCATGAAGAGCTGACACACATTAATCTTGCTGCCTAATTACCTGTGCCCCATGTGTCTGGGTGTGAACATATTAAGATGTGTTTGTGGGTGAGTGTGTATGAAAAGTAATAAACTCTCCCCCCAGGATGACCCTCAGAAGCAGGAAGACCCAGCGAAGTCCGCCCAAGCCAAGGAAGAGGGTTCAATGAACATCCTCAACTCTCACTCCCCCAAACACGAGAACAACCGTCCGACCTCTGTCGCCCACGACCCGGGCCACACCCCTAACAACACAGAGGAAAACGCAGAGGTAAACTCGCTGCAGAACAACCTAGTTTAATATCAGCATCTTTCAAAGTTTGCTGCCGGAAAATCCGACCAAAATATTTAAAGCACACACAAGTGCATGGATAGAATTCTTATATATTGTGGTAAAGTGCATTATATGTATTTCAAACCAGTCCAATCAGGCACAATGTAAAACAAAAGCACATGCATTTTGGAATACACCTTGAGAAGCACAACATTCCTGTTTACAAGGCTGCTATGCCAATGCTGTTCACATAGTGGCGCCGCCGCCTCCTTTCTTTCCTCTTTCGCCTCTTACGCTGGACTAAAATCTCTGGCTTGGACTGACTAATGAGTGACTTTCCTCTCTACTGATGCTCTGCCTTGGTCTTTGACCAATGAACTCTCGCTCCCTCATTGTTTCCTCTCCTGTTTACCCAAGCCCTCCCCTCGCCTCTGCCTGCCCCGCCTTACTGTCTCTCTCTGCCTGCATGCATTGTTGTTATCGACAAAAAGTGTCTGAAAAAAGTAATATTTGCAAAAGAAGTAAGTGGAAATCAAGTGAATCTGTACTTGCAGAATATTGGTGTTTGACATTGCTTTTAGGTGGATACTTTTAGATTTCATGAGGTCAAAGTAATTGAGTTGATATTTGAATCTATATACATATATAACACATGCGTGTCTTGGATTTCAATGTGATTTATAATATTTAATGTACTTGAGGTTCTTTTGTACTTTTTTTGGTATACATGGAGGATTGTTATTCAAGGTTGTTGGAATAAATCTTTTTAATTTTATCCAGCTTGTCCCTGTGTGTTGCTGTGAGCGCTACTTTCCCTCTATCTGTCTTTCTGCATGTCTGCTCATAATGAAGCTAACTGCTGCCCAACTGCTCCCCTGCTAATAATAACTGAATGCACCGCTGACCCTGCTTTTGTGCTACAGTAGGCTGCTCACAGATTACACCACACAATGGTTACCGTGTGCTCATTCAGCACCACGGACAGCTCTTTGAAATGAAGAAAGCTACCACAAGAGCTTAAAATGTAACCTTTCTATTCTTCCACTCAGAACAGGCTGGGTTTTGATTTAAATGAAAAAACAGAGCTTATAGGATAGGTAATATCTGACACAATTTCTTCAAATGAATACTAATATTGCTCCATATGTGCTCGATGTGTATATAGGCAACTGTTGTCATCTCAACTGAAAAGGTGCTATCATATCAGTAATGTGTTCACTTGTTTCCACTGCCCCCAAGTGACTAAAAACATCAATTGTTGCAGATTTGAGTCAATTTGTATGTGCCAATGGGTTTAGTGTCTCAAAATTCATCCACACCTATATTACTATTCTAATACCATGCCTAATTAATCCGTGCCTTTATTACAGCTATTTCAAATGAACGAAAGCTACTTTATAAATGTTAATTTCATTATTTCTGCCTGTGTGACTGTTCCTACATTGTTGCATCCTACTTATATTTCCACATCAGGATGGAGTCACAATTGGCCTGGAGGTGCTCCTCCCCAAAGAGGCCAAGCTCCACTCAGAGACCGGCTCGCCCCTTCAATATGACGTCTTCCTCTACAAGGTTCCCAACAGTGAAGACTCCACCTCTCCCATCCACGCCCCTCCCACACAGAGCGGCAACTCATACTCCTCCTCTCACCCCATGCCCAAATCGCCCAAAACACCCAAGACGCCCAAGATGCATAAATCACCCAAACACAGCAGGGAGCACTCACACAGCAGCCGCGAAGCCTTGTCTGGGAGGCACGCCTCACCCGGACGCCACCCCTCACCCGGCCGCCACCCCTCACCCAGCCGTCATTCCGCTCCAAGTTCCTTCCATCCACCCTCCCATCACTCCCCCTCCCGGTACACAAGCTTCCCCCCCTCCTCCTCCTCCACCCCGCCTGAGTTACGCAGGCCCAGAGGTCGGTCTCAGGTCCTGGGCTCTGAGTGCTCTGGGACAGGGAGAGAGCAGGGTGGACACCTCCATCCTTCCCCCTCCTCCCCCCACCTCACCCAGCCTTCTCCATCCCCATCCAGGGTGAAGTTCAGCCCGGTCAGCACCAGATCTCTGCCTGTTCTGTCCTGACCTCCACGGAGCCTCCATACACGCACAAACATCTGTCATAGTCTAATCTATCCAGCCATATGTCCACCATGACTCTAACTTTTTATAATACTAGATTAACCATCCATTTATCATCCACCTTGCCTCTGCACATTCAAATCCAGAGGAGGAGCACATCACCTGGTTTTGGAGCCAGAAAACAAGAACTGGGACAACTCATCACACTCTCTCAAACTGCAGACATGATGCACCAGAATGCACACATACAAACGGCGAAACACCAGCAGCCAAACATTCCCACTTTCATGTGTTTAACATTGTCTCAAAGCTCAGGTGTCTGCTCACACAAGCACAATATGAACCACTACATGTGAAAATGCTCTGCTAGCATGGTGCCAACCTCAGTGACTGCTGAGGAATTTGTTCATTAAGGTTTTATAGAGGTTAACTACTTTAGCCTTAGTATTATCAATGTTTTGTACACGTCTTTTGCTATTCAGTGTGTAAGATTGTTTCATGTTTTCACAGGCTTTTGGTATGTTTTTCATGTTTCTAATCCTTAATAAATAGTTACAACAAAGCGTGCAGTATTGTGTTCTAAAGAAAAACAAAGAAGAGACAGCAAGGCTAAGAGAAGAGACAGGATTTTCCTTTGGATTTGCCAAGCTGCTTTGTAAAACATATGAGGGACTCTGCTGCCCCCTTGTGGACACAACAAACACTGCAGCTCTAGGCACATTTCAGGTTAAAAATCTTCAGTGGAATAGTATGCTAAATATGGGACTCTTATAATGTTCAGTGTCTGCAGTATGAACTAGGCCTACAGGGTGTTAACCGTGTATGTGCATCAGATTAAGGCAGTTTACTTTCTCTCCTGCCTTCACTTCACATCACATGCCAAACATGCACCCCAAGAAGTTATTAAGTCTACACGGCACGCTGGCTCAGTAATATGAAGGTACGTTATTTTATTGTATTGGATGTATCATCGTCGGCCTGACGCCCACCGACGCCGATAATCGGCCTGGTGTGTCCGTGCCATCTTCTATTTCAAACGAATATTTTTGATACAAATTCAGCAATCTTTTGTTCAAAGTCAAAAAGTCAATTTTATCTCCAATAGCTTCCCAGTCATGCCAAAATATGACAAACTGAACAAAAGAGACTGATCTGACACACCAATCTGACAATAAAGAACTGACACAGACGGACCCCGACTGTTGCGTCGCCTCTCGTCTGCTGCGTTTTGGCCATGTGTCGCACTGGAACACACGGCCAAGAAGCACGTACGAACTGCGCATGAGTGAGTGGCAATAACTCTCCTTACCAGCAGGCGACTGTCTTTGACCCGCGGGTTTTCGGCCGAAAAGGCGTCGGCCCGGCTGAAAAGACCCGACGGTGCGGGACACACCAATCTGAGTAGGGCGTGTCGACGCTCATCGTCGGCCTGACGCCCACCGACGCCGATAATCGGCCTGGTGTGTCCGTGCCATCTTCTATTTCAAACGAATATTTTTGATACAAATTCAGCAATCTTTTGTTCAAAGTAAATTTTATCTCCAATAGCTTCCCAGTCATGCCAAAATATGGCACACTGAACAAAAGAGACTGATCTCCTTTTATTGGATTTTAGGTCTACTTACATTTGATATGACCATTGTTAATACAATAGAGCTGTTTTTTGATTTTATAGTCTAGAACTTTTTCAATAGCTTTCATATCACGTGAGCTTATGACTCCAAACTAATTCAGCATTGTATTACTACTTTTTTATTGGACTTAAATGTGTCTTCTATGTTATATCAATATCTATATGAAATAAATAACGGTTATTCTTACTGTGAGTTGTTACATTGAAGATGTAAGCAAATAACACAATTCAATACAGAAGTCAATTACTAAACTGGACAAGTGAGACACATGTCTTTTAGGATTCGAGTCGACCTTCTATATTCTATGAATATAGTTATGTAAATTCAGGAGTATTTCAATTAAATGTCTAATTTGCTTCAATATCTTCTATGTCACATGACCCATTATCTCCCAATAAATGGCGGACCCCGTTACTACACTGGACAAGTTAGACATAACTGTTTTTATTGGATTTTAGACCACCTTTTATTTCATATAAATATTTACACAGGCATTTCTTTGTATAGGAAAGTTCAACCTTCCATGTCATGTGACCCAGGGTCTCTACCGATAAAAGAGTGTGAAGAACAAGTATATGGCTTTAGGGTGATTAGGTCACATGATCTTGGAGCTTTTGAAGAAAATCCAAGACCTTCTATTTGAAAAAATGACAAGGGAAAAAAAGGGGCAACTTACCTTTGCTTAAAACTTTATTATCACGCAAACTATATTTGAACAGCCTAAGTAGCATATGTTGTCAAATTACCCTGTGGTTGCTATCATGAAATATACATTAATGTCATGATTTTTGAAGACAACGTGGTTCAAAGAGCAATGTAGATGACGTAGCAGGAAACGACACGACATCCATATTCAGTTGGACTGAAAACATGCCAGGTAAAATATACTCACCTACTGGTCCTGACTGAATAAGACTGAATTCTAAAGTCAGTATTCATCTAGTTCAAACAGAGTTAGGGCAGGGCTTCACAGTGTCTCTTGTTCCTTCTGTTATTAGTGTATTATTTATAATGTGAAGAGTCGCGGGCGGTGGCGAAGTCCATAGGGACTTGGCTTGGCAACTGGAAGGTCACCTGAGCAAGGCACCGTTCCCTACACTGCTCCCCGGACGCCGTTCATAATGGCAGCCATCCTCCTAACACTAGGATGGGTCAAATGCAGAGAAACCATTTCATTACATAGTGCCTGCGTAATGACAATAAAATAAATGAAAGTAGAACTATCCACTTTAATGTTCTGGATGTGAATGTGCTCCCCCTTTCAGCAGGCACTTGTCTTTCTTTAGGCAATTCAAATTAAATATCCAGCCTTGGCCTATTTTTTCGCAATGTGACCTCCTTAACAGCTGAAGGCAGCAGACGCTCAGCTCTTTTGTTCTCTGACTATTTCAATGAGAAAAAACACCTTCTCGTTCCAGATGGATGAGGTGAAGGTGAAGTTATCCTACCTGCGGTACTCATTCATCAGAAATAGGCTGTGTTGACATGAAAAGAGTAATTGATAGGTTTGGAGTGTCCGTATCCCTCAGTGACACTCGGAGCATCTGAAGAGCTTTCCTGTCGTGCCCCCCTCTGCAAGGTGCTTCTGTCCTCAGTATGTCCTCAGTTGTCAGTTTTTTCAGCTGTTGAAGTATCCAGAAATGCCTCACTGATTTTTTCTGCAAGGAAATGGAAGAGAGCGGTGGTCTATTTTTCCGGGAATTGTGATTATTGATTATTATTATTATATATTTTATACATCAAATGGCTTTCAATTTAGCTGTATACATTCTTTTTACACAAATCTGTGAGTCTATAATTGTGGCTTAAATATTGTACGCCTTTAAGTGAAGATCAACTATGTATGGCTTGTCAATTGATGTACAATAGTAGAGACTAATCTGAACACTAGTAGCTTTGAACTGTTGAACATTGGTAACTGTGGTTCCTATCAATGTCTATCCAAAATGTCTTGAAGTGTCTTCAATACAAATCTGTGAGTCTTTAGATGACCTGACTGTCCTTTAAATCCAAGGGTGGTTACAGGACAGGCCATTCATCCATGTTGCATCTCGTAGCATGACAGTACGTTGCATTTATGGGATGCTATACAAAAGGAAAGCTAAGTAAGAAGATTGGAAGACAATACCGTTAAAGATATCTACCTGAAAAATGAACTTCTGTACTGCTTTACATGTGTTCCACAGGTAAAGTAAATCATTCCACATTATTTATTGTTTGAAATAGAGAAAAAGTACAGAAGAAACCTTTTTTCTTTCTGGCACTAAGAGGCCTTTAGTTTCTTTCTCCGCCCAGACCTCAGAGAACAATCTTGCAATCACTAAAAAACCAGTCACGTATCTGTCCGTCTGAAAACTCAGGAGCTATTATCTCAGCAGGGTGCACGTTTTGCCGGTCAATCTAGTGATGGTTTCCATGCAAGATGTGATTTAAAGTGCACGTTAAAGGAGTGATCATAGACCTGTTTTATAACTAGGGTTTATCCTGGAAAAAGCTCTAGTGCCACAGATTAAAGCCAAATGTGGGAGCATTGCAGGTTTAAATACAGTTTAAAATCACCTTTCAGAGTGTCTCAAGTCAAGGAAAGGCGATAAAATAAAGGGGTGGTCAAAAATAGTAGATGAGTGAATAACATGCCAATGAAAAACACAGCTTAATGCAGATTGCAATTATCACAACTAAACGTGGAGAGTTTCTTGAATATTTAATCTTTGTCCAACTGATCTGAGAGATTTGTCGTAGATATTTGCAGTCCTAAATAACCTTTATATACTTTTGGGTTTATATAATGGCTAACTCCACTCTTGCCTAGGCTCTAAAGAGAAATGTTTCTGTATCCTAATCTCCCCTGAGATGTCACCTTACGCAAATTACTCTTCAACCTGCCCCACTTCTGTGTGTGCGTGTGTGTGTGTGTGTGTGTGTGTGTGTGTGTGTGTGTGTGTGTGTGTGTGTGTGTGTGTGTGTGTGTGTGTGTGTGTGTGTGTGTGTGTGTGTGTGTGTGGTGTGTGTGTGTGTGTGTGCGTGTGTGTGTGTGTGTGTGTGTGTGCTTGCGTGCGGGTGTGTGCTCGCGTGCGTGTGTGGGTGTGTGTGTGTGTGCAGGTCCTGTATAAACCACTGAGGGGCAGCGTTGCCTCGCAGTCTGCATGCACTGCTCCTGTAGATACAGATAGGACCCTCTGGTACTTTGAAACCGCTGATCTGCATCTTCATTTGCATTCACTCTGTGTCGACCGACTGATGCTGTGATAATTGATATTGTTATCAGGTAGATATCTGGGTGATATCTGATGATCTCAGGCGTACTTAATGCTTTCCAGGGGTGGAGATGAGAGCTGGGATAGCGCAGAGTGTGTGAAGTATAAGAGTGTATTTCCTGCTGGCAGCTTCATTACTGCCTCTTTAAGTACGGCTTTAGAGTACTTTTTGCTGACCAAAAACAGGTGTACCTGCTGTCTTAAATATACAAACACACACACACACACACACACACACACACACACACACACACACACACACACACACACACACACACACACACACACACACACACACACACACACACACACACACACACACACACAATTTATTTTAGAACTAGTGGATTTCCCAGAAAGTGAATAGAATTGACTGCATTTTCAAACAATATAATTTCTAAACATTTTTGACAACGTTTATTCATTGTTTATCTGTGTGTTTACTTTTCGCAGCAAAGAAAGGTGTTCAGAAACATGAATGCCAAAACATATTTGTGTCTGGTTTATGTAACGTGCAGAATAACAGCCCCAGGATGCCTTACAAGGTACATTAACTCTTTTACTATGTTTTTCATGGTTTTTAATGTATTTTGCTCTCCACATATTAAGTGCCTCCACCTCTCTCTCTCTCTCTCTCTCTCTCTCTCTCTCTCTCTCTCTCTCTCTCTCTC